TAGTTTGAACCTTAAGAAGATCAATTAATAATTAAGAATTTAAAATTTAAAATTTAAATATTAAATAAAAAGGAAAGGAATTTTTTTTTGAACATATTGTAATTGTTTATAAGTTAATTAAAAAATAAAAAAAAAATTTCGTGAAACTCAAACATACAACTCACTGAATACAAACAACCTTAACTTAAGGTTGAATATCACTTAATCAAAATGAATTGTTAATAGGATTCAATATCACTGTCGAACCGTTAAGAAAAGGAAAAGATTTAAAAAAAAAAAATGGCCATGTACCATATTCAAATATATATATAAAAAAAATTGAATCGTAATTCGAAATCTACTCATTAAATATTCACGTCAGAGCGTATGGTGCATTGTAAGACAAGAATGAACATGGCTAAGATAAAAGAGCAAAAGCAAATAAGAAGTGGCCCACTGACCAGCTGAGACGGATGCCATTATCAATTTTCCACCTCTGAAACCGCGTTTTTTACTTCGTTCACGGCTTTGCAGGCCCTGAGGTTTTACCATTGGCTGATGCTCAAGAACCTAACGTGTCTTGTTTGGTCATCTCCATCGAATTTAGCATCGGATTCTTTACTTACCCCGTTCCCTCATCTCGTGTTTCCTGTCCACAACGTCTTTAATTCGTTTAGTTTTCTTGTCGTCCTTACTTAACTCGGAATCGGATTTGAGCTTAACACTGGGTTTGAAAAACCAATCGAGTCGAAATTCAAATTGCGCCCAAAATCCAATTTGGTTTGACTAAATTTTATTAAACTAACCTTGATTTAATTATATTAAAAAACAATTATATATCAAATATTTAAAATTTTATTTTTATTTTTATTTAAATTTAAGCACTTAGACCAATTTGAATTTATAAATAGCGTTTGAGTTTAATATATTTAGATTTGATAAAACTTTGAACTTAATTTTTTTATTATAAAAAAATTTCTTTAAATATATATATATATTAAAATTTAGTAATTATAATATTTTTAATTAATAAATTTTAATGCATACTCTAAAAAATGAATAAATTAAAAAATTATATTATAGGCACTTGGTCCTACGGGCCATGCGGCCTTAGGGTTGCCTTGTAGTGCATTTTTCCTCTTCTCCCATGGTGGGTTCGATTTCCACTCTTGTAAACTTGATCAAAAAAAATTATATTATAGTGTTGAACTTGAATTTGATTTCTAAAAAACTCACCCCGAGTTACTTACAGATCTGAATAAACCCCCC